TTGGCCTGAGAAGCGAGGAGAGCGAGTCAGCACAGGCCTTGCAAGGAGGCAGGCAGCGTCTCATGTCCATCTTGCCAGACCCCAGGGGACCTTAGCCAGCTCCCTCCTCCTCCTCCTCCAGTTTCTGGGATTTCAAGAGTTACAACTTCCCACACATTTTAAAGCTGTCTGCTCTGTCATCTTAAGGACTAGAAACTGACTAGAGAAAGAATAAAATGAAAGCAGGGGTTTTCAGGATCTGCTCCCAGTGCAGACTCTGCCTTCCTTTTTCTGTGGGTCGTGGTACACAATGGGCCCCATGTTCTAGGAGGCAGCAGTGCTTCCAAACCCAAGTTGCTGGAAGACACAGGCGGGGAGAGGGCTGCTCTTGTGTTCGAGTCCTGCTGGAGAGTCTCCTAATAATAATAATAATAATGTTGTTTAGTCGTGTCCGACTCTTCGTGACCCCCTGGACCAAAGCACGCCAGGCCCTCCTGTCTTCCACTGCCTCCCGCAGTTTGGTCAAACTCATGCTGGTAGCTTCGAGAACACTGTCCCACCATCTCGTCCTCTGTCGTCCCCTTCTCCTTGTGCCCTCCATCTTTCCCAACATCAGGGTCTTTTCCAGGGAGTCTTCTCTTCTCCTGAGGTGGCCAAAGTCTTGGAGCCTCAGCTTCAGGATCTGTCCTTCCAGTGAGCACTCAGGGCTGATTTCCTTCAGAATGGAGAGCTTTGATCTTCTTGCAGTCCATGGGACTCTCAAGAGTCTCCTCCAGCACCAGAATTCAAAAGCATCAATTCTTCGGCGATCAGCCTTCTTGATGGTCCAGCTCTCACTTCCATACATCACTACTGGGAAAACCAGAGCTTGAACTATACGGACCTTTGTTGGCAAGGTGATGTCTCTGCTTTAATAATAATAATAATAATAATAATAATAATTTTTATTTATACCCCGCCCTCCCCAGCCAAGACCGGGCACAGAGCGGCTAACACCAAATATAAAAGAAACTGATTGAAACACAACTTAAAAAGGTAGGAGGGGAGAGTGCTGCTCTGTGTTCGAATCCTGCTGGAGAGTCTCCCCCTGGGGCACCTGGTTGGCCACTGTGAGAACAGGACTAGACGGGCATTGGCCTGATCCCGTAGGCTCTCCTTAGGTTCTCTGATAGTGGACAGAGAGGGGTTTCTCTGGACCCTTCTGGGGAGGAGGGCCCTATAGGGGTTCTTGTCCCTTCCAAGAGGTGTGACTGAGCGGCCTTCTCTGCCCACAGGCAGGACCAGCCACGTTCCTTTCCTTTCCTCCAGGAGAGACGCCAGAAGGAGCTGATACTTCTGAGCTGCCTGCTTCAGATCGCCACTTCTGTTGCAATCTGCGCAGGTTCTGAAGTATTCGAGATCAGAGCCAAAAGCCACTCGGTGTGTGTTCTGCCTTGGGGCTGGTGCAGAGCAGCCTGTGGCTGGCAAAACAGCCCGAGGGGCTGTCTGGCCATTGCCTCCTGCAAGCAAGTTCTGGAGGGTGTGATCTTGCAGAACCTAGTTCTGGGATTCCGCTTGCTGCCTCCTAGAATTCAGGCTTCCTCAAACTCGGCCCTCCAGATGTTTTGAGACTACAATTCCCACCATCCCTAGCTAACAGGCCCAATGGTCAGGGATGATGGGAACTGTAGTTCCAAAACATCTGGAGGGCCGAGTTTGGGGACGCCTGCCCTGGAGTCTTCTTGCCCTGCACCTTCATCCGAAATGGGACACCGTTTCCTCCTTGGCTCTCTTCTGGTGATGGTCTCAGCAGCTGCTGGCCAGAAGGTAGATTGCCTCTGAATGCGGAAGTTCCACAGAACCTCATCACTCTGTTTCCTTCTTATTTCATTTTTACCCCCTTTTCTTTCCATTTTTAGCTTTCACACCATAATTTATTTGCAGAAGTCCAAGTCCAAGTATTAATTTGAGGGCACTGCTTTTTAAGGTAATCTCTATCTTTTCCCCAATCTTTTTTAAGCTTTTGTTTGGGCTGACCCCTAAATACATCAGTCATTCTAGCCAATTCTATATAATTCAATAATTTATCTTGCCATTCTTTTTTTGTCGATATTATTTCTTTCCCCCCAATTTTTGGCAATTAGTGTTCTCGCAGCCCCTGTAGCGTAAAGAAATATTTTCTTACTTTCTCAGAACCTGATCACTTAGGCAGGCCTTGATTTGCAACATGAGGGGCGCCTCACCCCAAGTCTAGGACCCCCTGGGACTCTAAATGGGGCTGGAGTGGGAGAAGCCTCTGCTAGTTTCAGCTAAGCAGATCTCTGGTTCCAGGGCTGGGGAGGAGCCATTCTGGCTCAGTGGAGGAGCGCTGAGGCTGGAGGCTGCTTTGCCACCTGCGGTTGGGATTGGGGCCAGGCCTTGTGCTCCCCCCCTTTTCCTTTTACACAAATAGCAACCTTGTATTGCTGCGAACATCAGTGCACCAGGTGCTGCCCGCTGACTGTCCCCTAGGCTTGTGGACTGTTGCTTTGCGTTGTGAAACCACACCAAAAGGTCCCTCAGATGGGCCCGTCAGGCACTAGGACCCTGTGCTGGCTGCTGCTGGGGGCCTGGGAACCACAGCTGCTGGTGCTGAGTCACTTCCTCTCCCTTCCCCTCTGCCTCCCCCCCATTTCGAGTCCCAAGCCCCACAGTGAACCAGGAATTCTGCACATTTGACACAGAGACAGGAGCTAGTTTTTATTTTTTTTATTTTGGGGTGTGCACATCTCAGCTGGCACTTCTGCCAGTGGGCATTGGGGGGGAGGCCAGCTTGCAACCTCTGCAGCCTTGTGCCCACTGGGCATCCCCTGGCACCAGGCTGACGGTGGGAGGCTCTGAGTGATGTGGGGGCAGACAGTGGCTTCAAGTTACAAGAAAGGAGATTCTGACTGAAGATCAGGAAGAACTTTATTGGCAGTAAGAGCTGTTCGGCAGTGGAACGGACTCCCTGAGAAGGTCTCCTTTCTTGGAGGTCTTTAAGCAGAAGTTGGCTGGCCCTCTGTCATGGATCCTTTAGCTGAGATTCCTGCATTGCAGGGGGTTGGACTGGATGACCCTCAGGGTCCCTTCCAACTCTACCATTCTATGACTTGCACAGATGGGGGGAGATTCCACTTGACCTCTGCCCCACTCACGAAGGCTGCACTTCCAGTTCCTGTGACTTCAGTCCTTCCCCCTTGTCCTCCCTGTGGACAAGGATAGACAAATTCATGGGAAAGAAGGCTCTGGGAGGCTCTTGGCTACCAGCTATGACGGCTACCCTCTGCCTCGACAGTTGGAGGCAGCGATGCTTCTGAGACCCATTGCTGGACCCCACGGGAGAGGAGAGGGTTCTTGGGCTCATGTTCTGCTGCCTGGCTCCCCACAGGCATCTGGGGGAGGTGGGCCATGGTCCTGATCCAGCAGAGTTCTTCCGACAGCCTGTTAGAGCTGCCTCCCATCAAGCAGTAGGAGCAGGATCCTCCCTCCCTCCCTCCCAGGGTCCAGTAGCGCCAGCTGTCTGTTGGCCTGGTGTTCCTGCACCAGCCGCGGGCCTCACCCCACCCCTTCTGGAGGGCACAGGACACACCCCTCTCATGCTCTCCTCTCCTATTAATATTATTATTACTGCCCTTTATCTATTTGAATTGGACTCGGAAACTAATTGGTAGGCAGTTGGACCAGGTGTAATATGCTCAAACCATCTTCTCCAGTGAGCAACCTGGCCACTGAATTTTACACCAGCTGAAGTTTCCAAACCGTCTTCAGAGGCAGCCCTACATATAACGCATTGCAGTAATCTAACCTTGGGGTCACCAGAGCTTAGACCACAGTAGTTAGGCTATCCCTGTCCAGATAGGGGCGTAGCTGGGCCACCAGCCGAAGCTGATGGAAGCCATTCCAGGCCATGGAGGCCACCTGAGCCTCGAGCAACAGCAAGGGATCCAGGAGTAACCCCAGGCTACGAACTTGCTCCTTCAGAGCAAGTCTCACCAAGAGCAGGCCACCTCCCAGCCATCTGGTCTAAGAAACCACCCACTAACTGTGCCTCAGTCTTAATCTGGATTGAGCCTCAGTTTGTTGGCTCTCATCCAGTCCATTACTGAGGCAAGACCCTGATCCAGCACTTCCACTGCCTCACCTGCAGATGTAGAGAAGAAATAGAGCTGAGCGTCACCAGCATCCTGCTGACAACTGACTCCAAACCTCCGGATAACCCCAACCAGCAGTTTCATGTAGATATTAAACTGCATAGGGAATAGGATCGAGCCCTGCAGAACCCACACTGAAGCCTCCATGGGGCCTCCAAGCACTCCCCAAGTCTGACAGCAACATATTTTGGATGTGTGAGGGGCCCCCTCCCGCTCTGCAGGGTGTAGGACTCCCCCCCCCCGTGCCATTTATACTTCACCCCGGCAGTAGTTGAGGCAGCGCTTAGGTGTGTCAGCAAGTGAAAGTTCCCTGTCCAGGCGCACTCTACCTGCGTCCCAGGCGGGGAGGGGCCTGGACAGAAGGAGCCCCCGCTGGGGTGCTGCAAGGGAGCCGCTCTTGCCTTGCCAAGGCCGCCTGGAGCCGCAGCCTCCCCCCCCCAATCTGGAGCCTTGGTGGGGGCTGGGTTGCTGCAGCCGCCGCTCACGGCCTCCAACTCTCGAGATCGCGGTTCTTTGCAAAAGCTGCGTCCGGCTGCAGCGGACTTGGGTTGTTTTTTTTTTGGGGGGGGGGGGTCACTAAAGTGTGTGCAGAGGTGAGGCTTGGCTGAGTGCAGCCGGGGCGCACGTGCGGGGCGAGGGGCGGGCATTGCTGGCCGCGGGGCGGGTCCTGCGCGACGCGCCTCCCCCCCTCCCAAGTGCCGCAGTGGCCGCGGCAGGACCGCGCGGCTTCCCGCTGGCTGCTGGACGGGACCGGCGGAGCCCCGCGCGCTGATTGGCTGCCGCGCTGCCGGTGGGCCCGGCCCCTCCGCCGACAGAGCCCCCGGGGGCGACGGCCGAGCAGGACGCCCCGACAGCGCCGCCGCCGCCGCCATGGACTCGGCGCGCTCCATCCAGCACGAGATCAGCTCGCTCAAAGGTACCCGACGGCCGCCCGCCCGCCTGTGCCCCCCGGGAGACGCGCTGCGGAGAGAGGGGGGCCAGAAGCGGGGCGGCCCCTGGCAGGACTGCAGCGCGACGGAGGGGTCCGGGGCGCGCGCCTGGGTGGGGCAGGCCGCCCCCCATCCCTCGGCTGCGGCGCAGCACCTCCGCCCGGCCAGGTGAGGGACGGCGGCAGGCCTGGGGCGGTGGCTCAGATGCCGGGCCCTCCGGAGGCCCGTCCCGTCGAGGGGCGCTCGGAGGAGCGGGGCACCCTCGAGATCGATCCGGGAGGCCTGCGGGGCTCCGGCCACCGCTGACCTTTGGCCCTTTCTCCGGCCAACTCGCCCCCGGGAACCCCCCGGCTCCTCCGCGCTCTGCGGGGCAGCCGCCCTTCCGGTGCAGGCGGGGTTGCGACTCCGGGCCGCCCCCGTTCGGAGGGAAGCCCCTGTTCGCGTTTCCTCGGCGGCCGCCGCTGCTCAGCTTGAGCTTGGTACCTTTTCGTGGGGCTGCATTCAGACGGAGGTTAGAGACGCCCTGGTTTCCTGGGTGGGGAGTCGGTCTCGCGGTCAGCCCCTCCGGTGGGGCTGGGAAAGATCCCCGGGGAGCCGCCCGCTTTTGAAAGCGCCGCCGCCGCCGCCGCCGCTTGTGGCTTCGCAGGAAGCAGGTCTCTGCCCCGGGAGGCTACAGTCTGAAACCCGGCATGGGGCAGGAAGGGAGTGAAGGCGTTGCTCAGCCTTCCTTTCTGTCACCGGAGGCCGAGGGGTTTCCTGGAGGGGTAGAGGAAGGAAGGGAAATAGGGTGCGGGTGGTATCCTGATCTGCCCCCCCTCCCCGGATCAGGGCCAGTAAGGGAGAGCGGGCGGAGCTGTCTGATTGCACCGGAGACCTGCAGGCAGCGAAACCTGTGTTGGGGAATCTGCAAAGGGGTGGGAAGATAAGAGGCACAAGGCCATGTGCAGAGAGCTGTGAAGGCCAGGCTGGAGTGTTTGTTTTTGGTGGGGAGCAGCTGAGAGGCACCATGACCTCCAGCCGAGGGTTGGGTCTGACCCTTCACCTGGGAGTGGAGCTTTGCAAAGTACACACAGGCAGAGTCAGCAGAGAGTCACCCGCCTGGTGGTTGTGTAGACTCTCTGCTCCAGGGGGTCCGAGGCAGTTTAGCCCCATCTGCCGGATGCTGCCTTCTGTCCTGATTGTGCCCAGCCACCTGGGCTAGATGTCCTCACATGGGTCTGATCCTGCAAAGCGTCAGTGTGCCACTCGGGCGAGATGTGGCTCCAGAGAAGACTCTTCATATCTGGTGGGGTGCCAGGGTCCCTGGCGTAGGAGCTGGCTGGATGCCAACTTGAATAAAATATTGGGGGGTGGAGGCAGATAAGCCCTGTCCCATCTAATCGATCACAATATGTGGTCACACACCCATTTGAATGGCAGTGCCATCAACTTTGGGGGCTGGTCCCCTCTGCCCCAGGAGTGGGTTCCTGCAATGAGTAAGCTATGAGAGGTATTGACTCCATGTCGGATGAAAGATCCCTGCCTTGCACAGGAAGTTGGACTAGATGGTCCTCATGGTCCCTTCCAACTCTATTATTCTATTCTATTATTCCGTTTTCAGCTGGGGAGGTGGCGGGGGGGCACCCATCTTGTTTACCCTGCTGGTTGATGGGGTCAGGGTGGGCCTGTTGAGAGTGGGTGAGGTGAGAGTTGAGGCGCCTGCCCTGAGCTGCTGTTGCTTGAGTTGAGTCCTCTCCCCAGCTAGGGACTGCCCTACAGACAGTGCCTTCTGCCCCACAGCCCTTGAAATGCCATGGGGTGTGTGTGTGGGGGGGTGCACACTCCGAAAGCACCCCCCCCAAGGCCTGGCCACTTGGCCTGGCTCTGCTTGGGACCTGGCTTAACAGTAACTCACCAGCCCAGGCCCTGGGGGTGGCTGGGGGGGGGGAGAGTGTTGGCAGCTGGGGAGGAAACCCAGGGAGAGCTTCAGCAAGGGGGCGGGCAAGGCATCTTCTAGGTGCCTTGTGGGTGGGGGGCTCAGGTGAGAGTCCAGGAGGGCACCCAGCCCTGAGTGGTGCTCACTGAGTCCTGGCAGCCTTTGTGGCACACTAGTCCATAGTGAGGCTCTTTTATTTAGTTATTAAATTTGTATACTGCCCTTCATCCACACACCTCAAGGTGGCTCACAACGTGCATTTTATATATAATTCCTGCATTGCAGTGGGTTGGGCTAGATGACCTCTGGGATCCTTCCAACTCTACAATTCTATAATATAAAAATAGGTACAGCAACACATCCCCTCTCTCCCCAATGCAGCACGTGGCAGTCAAACATGCCCCCGTCTGTGCCCTTCACCGTCTTTCCATCTTGGATGAATCTCCGATATTCAGAGGAGCACCTTCTGCCCAGTTAGACTGGTTTTACTACCCAGAAGCCCCATTGGGAACAGTTGGGGGGCATTGCAGGCTGGCTTGGCCTGCTTGCAGGAGGGAAGGGCTGCCTGGGGGCTGCTGCTGCCATGTGAGCAGAGGTGGGCATCCTCGGGCTGCCTTGGTCTCTGGGGATCAGGCCGGGGCTTGTGCCTTGCGGAGTGGGCTGGGAGGGGCCCAGTGTGGCAGATCCTGTGCACGTTGCCAGGGTGGTTTGAGTGTGTGCCACTTGGGCTGCCAAGGCACTGCAGAGGTGCCTTTGTGCCAGCCTGCCTGATTTACCATGAGAACAGGCTGCCCCCTCCCCCGGCCTGATTATTAATCCGGCCCCCGCCCCCGCCAGGCCCTCCTCGCTTGGCACAGCCTGCCAGGCTCCCCTTGCAAACAGCCGCCTCTTTGTTCCCCGGCTCAGAGCGGAGATCCCTGGGCAGCCCCACTTTGGGCAGTGATGGGGGCTGGGGTAAGGAGGGGGTAGAGCCTCTGTCCTGCCCCTCTTCTGCAGAGGCTTTCCCCCATGGTGTGGGGCAGAAGAGGAGGAGGAGATGATGATGGGGAGGACGGTGGGTGCTCCAAGAGGCCCCATGACATCTCTGGTGCCCATCTCCCTCTCAGGACACCCCACACCCTGTGCCCTTCAAGGGGCCTTCGGAGAGCAGAGAAGCTGGGGGGCTGGTCTCCTCATGCTCTGCCTGTCCTTCCCCCTGAACTGCTCTCCAAACTGCACCAGGTGTGATGATTTGTTTGGAGAGAACAAAGCATCATTTGGGGAGGGTCCACCCCCCTTGTGGCATATCTGTGTTCATTTGCCCCCCACCAAGCTCCTTTGTGGGTTTGATTTCAGTTTTCATAAGCTGCACAGTTGGCTCCTCCTCTGAACCCTGGGTGCAAATTGAGCCCAGCCAAAGCAACAGATCCCTTGGGGGGGTGGGACTGTGGGGGTCTATTCCCTTTTCAGAAACACCTGCCTGCCTGTATCCAGTGTGACCAATGAGTGGGCTGCCCCTCTGAGAGGCATGGGAGCGGAGTGTGAGAGAGCAACTTCCCCAGGTTGTAAGAAAACAGTTTCCTAGAGCAGAGAAAGGATGGAGCTGGGCCAGGGCTCTGGGGGGCTGAGCGGGGTTTGTGAAGCTGGCACCTTGGGGTTTCCACAGTTGTGGGGTCCTAAGCAGGGACCCCTCCTCTCCTTGCTTTGCCTGGCTTGTCTTTCTCTCTCTCTCCGTGGGGCCCGTAGAGGTTCTGCTTGTGGTTGCCATGGCCTGATGTCCAGTGGCGCTTTGGCATGTGCGTGTGTGTGTGCGTCCGTCCATGTGTCTCCCTGGCAGGCTGGACTGGCTGGAGGCAGAGATCCGGGCGCCTGCCTGTCACTGGCTGACTTGCTTTCAGCCACTGAGCTTTGCTGACGCTGCGCTTTCCTGCAGCTGCAGCGGTGACATATTTTGGTGTGTGTTGAGTGGGGTGGGAGCTGCCTCGGTGGAGGAGGCCTGTGAAACCAGGCATCCCCAGGACCTCTCGGAGCAGATGCCTTGCTGCCTCTTGACCCCCCATCACTGGTGGAGGGAGGGGGGCTTTGCAGGGCAGTTGGGGAACGTGGGGGAGCCTGACTTCTCCCCCATCTAGAGCTGCTTGCCTGGGGATCCCTGGAGCTTGACTGTTTTCACCACATCCTGTAGAATTCTGTCAGTTATATTTTATCACACAATCCAAATTTCAGGCAACAAAAAGCTGTGAAAAAAGAAAAATCCTTGGGTGTGGATTTATTCTGCTGTCCAGCTCCTCAGGGTGCCACTCGCTGTGAGTCCCTCTGGTCAGCAAAAGGAGGAGTCTCCAGCCAAGTTAAAGAAGCAAATCAGCTGTCAGTAGACCTGGCCTTTATTTGTTGCAACTAGGTTCAAACACACAAAAGAGTAGGAACCCTGAGCAGGGGGTTGCGTGGACTTTTAAGACCTCTCCCCATTTCCCTTAATACATTTTTCAACAGCATCATCGATACATCATCATCATCATCATCAATTTATTTATTTATACCCCGCCCTCCACAGACAAGACCGGGCTCAGGGCAGCTAACACCAGATGCAAAAACAATTGATTGAAATACAACTTAAAATACAACATTAAAATACAGCCTCCTTTCACAAAATATGTCACAAAGTGGGAGTGTTTAGCATGTAGAAACATGAGCCCATCACCCACCCGTCAATAACTCCAGGTCCCACACCTTTTAACTCTTCCCCAAAGAACAATAATAGTATTTGCACCTCCCCCTGGCTGCAAGGGTAGCTCCTGCGCTTCTCCTTTGAAGTATCAGGATTCAATCCACCATCCCGGTGGGCTTCTGTCTGGGGTATGTGCTGCCCTTAGTCGCCTCCTGCCTCCTATTGTGTGGCTAAGTTCAGACCTTGTGGAGGGGAAGGAGTATGTGACCTTATGCTTAAGGGATTATGGAGTCAGGGGGAGCCCTGGATTCCCCTCTTTCAGAGGAGTCATTAGCCGTTGGAACCTAGGAAATCCATCAAACCGTTGAGTTTTGGAAATTATTTGAAGTTTCCACAGTTTTCTATATAGTGATACCTCTGGTTGTGAACAGGGATCCATTCCGGAGCCCCATTCGCAACACGAGCAGAACGCAACCCGTGTCTGCGCATGCGCGGGTCACAATTCACAGCTTCTGTGCATGCGTGTGACATCATGAAAAGACTTAACCTGAAGCAAAAGTAACAAGAGGTATGACTGTATTGGATAATCAGAGGAAACAGTACTGATACA